TTTAGTTACTACCCATTACTAATAGTATCGCTACACAAAAATAATTACATATCACTACTATTTCTATTTGAGTAAAGTTTATTAAAAGAAATATGTGTCTACAGAGATATTGTCTAATCCAAATAAAAAAAGTGATGAAAACGAAATTTTGTTTTAAAGGAATGCAAGATACTGTAGATATGATGGTGATGTAGATGTCGGGGAAGATAAAAAATTTGTCCTAATTTCTAAACTTTTCTAAAAATGTCACAGCAATGGTAGTAATAATGATGTTGATGACAACAATAATGACAACAGTAACAAAAGATGATGTCCGATGATGATGATGATAACAATAACAATAATAATAACAATAATAGTAATAATAATATATTAATATTAACAATATAATATTACTATTGTTACTATTATAATTCTATTTATTTATTTATTTATTATTATTATTATCGTTATTATTATTATTATTATTATTGTTATTATTATTATTATTATTATTATTATTATTATTATTATTAATCATTGCTATTATTATTAATAATTATTGGTATCATCCTTTTTATCAACATTTATCAATTTTATAGGATCCAATTGAAAATGCATAATTGAAAAATGGTACAATAGAAAAATTTCTATTTGTTTGTTTGTTTGTTTTTTCTGTTTTAATTTGAGAATTTGAAGTGCCATAAAACTATAATTACTTTATCAAATTCAGCATGTATTGATATATTTTGTTTTATTTTGTCTTTTTTTGTTTTCTTTTTCAAAGAACAAAATTAGTCAAAAAAAAATGAAGTATTATTTTGTAGAAGAAGAATTGAATTAATAGACTTTTTCCTAATAAATTGAATTTTTTAAAAAAAGGAAAACAGGACAAAATTGCTTCATTATAACATTTAATTGATTTTTGCGCCATTTTCTTTTTTCTTTCAAAAATAGACAAACAATAGGGAAGTTCAATTTAATTTTTTTTGATTTCTTCTAGAATGAAAGAAATGGAATGAGATCATGAATAAATGAATGGATAAATGATTGGTTGAAATTTAATTAATTATTTTATTTCATTTTCATTGCTATGTTTTTTCATGTTATTAATTTTTTTTTCTTTTTTTAAATTTATACGAACAAGTATAAATATCAAACATAATTAAATGAATAAGATTTTTATTTTCATTTATTTTTTAGTCGGAATAATTTTATCATAAAAAAGAAGGTTGAAGAATTTCTCTTTTTCAAATTATTTAAATTTTAATAATTTTAACTTAAAAAAAAATTTCAGCTCTTATATTCATTGTTAACCGGATTAGCTAGTTGGGGTTTATCTGATACAACAGCTAATGGTGATTCATCACATTATACCAGTTGTAATTTGGAAGCTTTGGGTAAAGTACGACCAGGTAAATGATATGATTAAAATTCTTTTTATCAGGATGACTAGTATTAATTTGAATGAAATGAGGCAATGATAATTATCAGTCTATCATTTTCATAAATACAATGATAATTATCAGTTTGTCATTTTCAAATATTATTAATAAAAATGAATAAATATTTTCATATGTTAACAATGATGATATTAAATGAAAACAGAAAAGAATAAGTGGAGCTGAAAGAGAGATGAAAAATAATATTATTTTATTACTAATAATTAGCCATGTATTATTTCATATAATTAATATTCAAATTATCTGTTTGTTTGTTTAGTTATTTAAAAGTTTTTTGTATAAAATTTAATGAGTGTTGTTTTATATAATTAATATTTGAATATTTTGTTTTCCCATTCCTAATTAATGAAAATCTTTTTGTTTGGTTTTAAATAATTAATATCCGAATATTTAATTTTCGCATTTTTAATCATTTGATCAAATTGTTTCAAATAATTAATAGTCGAATATTTAACTTTCATATTTTTAATCATTTGATCAAATTATTTCAGGTAGTTAATTAATATATTTTGTTCATTTTTTGCCTGAAACTTAAATAACAATAATTTAGTTTTTTTAAATTCTTTTTCATCAAGTAAATATAATTTAAAAAATATGAAAAAATTCTTCAAAAATATTTTTTTGTTTCAAAATTTATTTTGAAAAAAAATGTTTGTTTAATTCGGTAATTTTTTTTTTTTTAGATAATCGTAAGCTAACATTTCATCAAGGTACAACGACAATTGTCATCGAAGATTCCAGCTCATATCATTGCTCATTCGGTCTTTATACCGAAGAATTAATCTTTTCTTATTCATGTTTGTTCTTTTTTTCCTTATCATTTTCTTTCTCTTTCTTATAAAATGAATTATTTTAAAAAATTTATCTAAATAAAAAAATTAATTAATTAATCGAAGAAAGAAATGGATTATTTAAAAATTTGGAATAATATATTTTAATTTTATCAGAAATTAATCAAAAATTTATGCAAAAAAAAGTTAATTAAAAGTAAA